CTTGTCACGTACAACCGGGGAATCAAAACCACGCCAGTCGACTCAATGACAGACTTTATGATACAATGTGCACGCACTAACCATTCGGCCATCCAACCCCCCTAATTTTTTTCAGTCTCAACTCATTGACTAGGTACTTTTTTCATTGCAGGGGAAATCAGGCTAACATTTTTTAATTCTTAAATTCTAAAACAGCATATATCCCAATCAAACAACCTTGTAAAGTTTTATTTTGAAACTGCAGAAATCTAGCCCTCTAAAAGAAAAATATGAAATTTACTCGAAATAGTTGAATCCAACAGCCTATAGATTTTTAAATTCTAAATTGACAATATATTCTGACCACCTAGGAATATGAAATGTATGTTACATAGTCAAATCCAATGGATAGCCATTTTTTAATTGGCACAAATCTAGTCTTTAAAATATGAAATTTACCATAAAATTATATAACGTCCTGTGGAAGTATTGTTATTAAATTGAAGTTAAATATGGCAGATATCCAGGCCTTGCGTCTAGCTATCACACTTGCTCCAGGTAAAAAAATAAAATATATTAGAGTACACCAGTAACACGTGTCTAGTAGGATTTAGAGAGAAGTAGTCCCAATGTCTAGCATTAGTTGTGGTATATCATACTTGTTCTAATGTCAATGGTATTTATTGATCACATCATGACTAACCTAAATTGATAAACCATGGAACATAAAACATATACTCTACACACAGTCATCGTACAGGCCTTAAGTAAAATATATTAATATAATACCATCAGATAAAGGGTGGGCGGGGTCTGATTGAACAAGTACACTGTTCAGCTACATGTACATCAGGCAGGCAATGGGGGATGGCGGGTGGAGAGATGGAGGGGGAGGGGATGGAAGAGTACACTGTTCAGCTATATGTACATCAGGCAGACATGGGGGGTGGAAAGATGAAGGGGGGTGGGGGTGGAGAGATGAAAGGGGGGGGGAAGAGATGAAGGGGGAGGGGATGGAAGAGTACACTGTTCAGCTACATGTACATCAGTCAGGCAATGGGGGATTGGGAGAGATGAAGGGGTGGGGGGAAGAGATGAAGGGGGAGGGGATGGAAAAGTACACTGTTCAGCTACATGTACATCAGGCAGGCAATGGGGGATTGGGAGAGATGAAGGGGGGGAGGGGGAGATGAAGGGGGAGACAATGGACAAGTACACTGTTCAGCTACATGTACTATGGTACAAATATATCTATATGTATAAAACACAACAGACATGAGATGGGGGAGGGGATTTTAATAAGAAAACCAAATCAATATATTTACAGTGGGAAATCTGAACCCAGAGGCCCATCAAGAGAGAGAGAGAGAGAGAGAGAGAGAGTGAGAGAGGGAGAGAGAGTGAGAGATGGGGTTTAACACCCACTCGACACAAACAAGGTCATTTCGGGACTAACATATGGTTCAATTTTATTTCAATAATTTGCTTGCGAGTAGGGGTCATTAGATTTGGGAGAAAACCTACGAGATTGGACAGGCGACCTTACTCCTTGTCATGTACAACCTGGGAATGGAAACCACGCCAGTTGACTCAATGACAGACTTAATGATACAACGTGCACACGCTAACCATTCAGCCATCCACCCCCCCCTCCCCTCTCATCAAACGATCTACAGAGGATGAGAATATCCCAGGACAATTTTCAATTCATCATATCGGACATATAGTTATAACAGAATTGAACATTTATGACCTGATATTCCTTTAAGAAATTCAACAATATTGTAATTTGCAAAGAATTCAAAATCATTCCAACTGCAATCAGTGTGCAATCAGTTTTTTTTTTACATGTATGGCATGTTTATCAAAACTAAAAATAATGTAAACCGGTACTGGAATTTAAAATACTTTAAATTGCTACTAGAATTTAAGGAGTTAAGAGTTCAGGTAAACAACACAGGTAAATGTTAATTACAGGTAACAGGTTATAAACAATGTCGTGTCAGTATCTGCATCCTCAAGGCCAGTCATCAATCTTAATATACTGACCGAGACTGTCCACTGTATGCTACAGGTTCATATCATATTCTAATAATACAATGACCAAGACTGTCCGCTGTATGCTACGGGTTCATATCATATTCTAATAATACAATGACCAAGACTGTCTGCTGTATGCTACAGGTTCATATCATATTCTAATAATACAATGACCAAGACTGTCCGCTGTATGCTACAGGTTCATATCATATTCTAATAATACAATGACCAAGACTGTCCGCTGTATGCTACAGGTTTATATCATATTCTAATAATACAATGACCAAGACTGTCCGCTGTATGCTACAGGTTTATATCATATTCTAATAATATACCCCCAAAACTGATTGAAATGAAACAGGGTTTAACTTTTCACTTTTTCGTCACAAACTTGACTAATTGAGACTCTCCACGATGTGTTACAGGTAATAGCAGGTTTCCACCGTCGTGCGATGCGTTACGATAGGATTGTCCCGATTGAATCCACGATCTGCTACGTGCAGAAACGGTCGGATGCGGGCTTAAAGCCGGGCATACGCCATACAGTGTAATACACATTGAGCCAACCCGGCTCCCAGAGGGGTAAAGCAAGTAGATGTAAAAGCCAGATAAATGGCCATCAGTCAGTCAATGAGTGTAAGCAGTATATAAGTACAACTGACAGTAACAGATACCCTCTACTTAAACTCACTGGCATAGCAACTATTCTACCCCGTTGTTATTACAACAAATTATATTCAAACAAAGAATGTCAATTTGTCTTAAAATAACTGACACACCAGAGTTGAAGAGAAATTTATTGTCTGTATTATGTGAATACAATATGTCACAGTATTTTTCTTAATCAGTTTACCTGATGAGAGAAAATCGTCTTAATTAAAAATCTACTGAAAACTTATCATCATTAACTCGGGTCTCTTTTCGAAATGAAATAAAATAAGGTTTAACGTTCTACTTCTCTGCATCAAGTAAGAGAAAGAAATGGGTCTTTAGCAATAGGAAGAAATCGTTGGGCTGGAAGAAAATAAAATGAAATGGGATTTAACATCCTACTATTCTGCTCCGACTGGGCTAAAGAAGACGGGGACCGGAAGAAAACCCACGAGGTTGGGCAGGCGACCCTACTCCTTGTCACGTACAACCGGGGAATCGAAACCACACCAGTTGACTCAATGACAGACCGTATGACACAGCATGCACACGTTAACCATTCGACCATCTACCCCACCCTACCCTACCCCAGTGGCCTTAAGCAAATTTTTTATGGTAGTAAATTCAATAAACTGTTCATTCGTTTCTTGCGGTTTAATGTCCACTTCCATCTTGGGAGATATCACAGACAATAGTAAACTGACATTGATAACAATGAAAAATACAAGCAATCCTTTTCCTCTAGAAGTGTAAAATAATGAAAGATTGTTTAGTGAATTTTTCTTTTTTTTTGTCGAAAATTCAGTAAACTGTGACCAATAAGAAGTAAATACAACCGGACATTTTCCTACAATAACAAAAGTGTAAAATAACGAAAGATTTGTTCACAAAGAATTTTTCGCAGGTTTGAAACATTAAGGTGGGTGGGGTGCGGGAGAATGGGTACATAATGACCACAAAGGCTTGCATTTACATCCCATAAGAGAAAAATGGGGCTTAACGTCCACTCAACACAAACTAGGTCATAATTCACTAGCGCCTAGGGGTCTTCACGTATAACAGGGGAATCGAAACCACGCCAGTTGACTCGATGACAGACCTCATGATACAATGTGTACACGCTAACCATTCAGCTCACAGATTTGAAACATTAATGTTTACTTGATCTATAGAGAGAGAGACAGAGAAATGGGGTTTAACGTCCACTCAACACAAACTAGGTCATTTCGGGACTAACATATGGTTTAATCTTATTTACATAATTTGTTTGCGCGTAGGGGTCTTTAGCAGTGAAACCGGAGGACCCGGAGAAAACCCATGAGGTTGGACAGGCGACCCTACTCCTTGTCACGTACAACCGGGGATTCGAAACCACGCCAGTCGACTCAATGACAGACTTTATGATACAGCGCGCGCACGCACGCTAATCATTCAGCCATCCACCCCCCCTGATCTATAGAGAATATAAAAGAAGAATTTTATCAGCTAGTCATTAATGGACATCAAGAGGTACATTAGGTGGCATGGAGTTGAAGTGTTGGACTATACTCCTACTTATCATCTGTCACATTCATAAACACGTTTCTTTAACACTTCAAGGTTTCCTCCTGAATACATTAACAGTTCTATGGTGTCTCTGATAACACAAAGAGGTGACTGGAATCACGTTTAACATAGTAGTATTGGACTAATGACAACGGGCATATGCCATACAGTGTACTATGAAGGAAATTTTGCCCAGGCAGCGGCACTATGGCTAAGGATCTTTTACATGCACGCCAATGTATATACGGAACCTTGGTTTTTCATCCAATCCAAACTACTAGACAGCTGTCCTTGTCAGCCCCTCCTTTCTGCACCACTGACAAGGGGAAACCATGCCTGCCAGAAAATCCAAATGAACTTTCTCCACCAATGATAACACAAAGAGGTGAGTGGAATGAGGTTTAAGATAGTACTGGGCTAATGATGAAATTTTGCCTGAACAGTGGAGAGAGAGAAAGAGAGAAATGGGGTTAACATCCACTCGATACAAACTAGGTCATTTCGGGACTAACATATGGTTTGCCTGTAGGGATCTTTAGCAGTAGGAGAAAACCAAAGGACCCAGTGAAAACCCATGAGGCTGAACTGGCGACCCTACTCCTTGTCACCTACAACCAGGGAATCAAAACCACGCCAGTTTAATTGACTCATTGACAGACCTTCTGATACAGTGCCATCCAAACCCCCTCTTTTTAAGGGAAACTGCATAACAAAATAAAGACAAAAAGCATAAAAATCCTCTAAATTAGAGGGACAACAAAACTTAGTAGTTTAAGTGAACTTACCGCAAGAGATCTGCTGAATATTTATTTTATAAATCTTTCGCAACAATGTAATAATCTTTTAAACAACGAATGATCTTCTTTTTCCTCTCTTAGTCTTAACATTTAATTTTCACTGACCTCACAAATCCTATAACACAACTGAACAAATCTTGTTTTTTTTTTAAAAATCAAGTCCATGTACTTCGACAGTCTCAAACAGAACAAGTTTACAAATCCTTCACTCGAGACCCATAAAAAACCAGAATCTCTATTTTCCATCAATAAAAATTCACATCAAGTTGTATTCTTTTATTCTTTTCCGTTCACAACAATAGCTATCAGAATCTCATTGATCAAATAATACATGTGTATGTAGTCTGTTATTATCGGAATATAAAAATACCAAACATATCAAATATCGAGTCCGTTTTATACACCCTGTTCACAATTACCTCAACCACGACTTCATATCACCCCCACACACACTCAGAGATATAATATCATTTAGAAATCTCCAACCAGGCAGCGAAAGCCATTCATAGTTCACAGGAAACTTCACAAAGGTGTCCAGCAGAGTTGAAACTGAGAGGCCACTGACCAACTGGACAATGGAAAAGAAATGCCCAACGACCAATCAAACAATGGCCTAATCCCCACAGATTTAAGAGTGGACTGATCAACCCCTTGTTGTAAAGCCGATGAGTAAGACTGCCGAGTTTTTCCGCTGGCGACTGGACGACCGTCTGCTGTTGTTGGTCAATGTTTACCATGTGTGTAGAGATATACGGGACCATGTGTTCGATAATTTTACCATGTGTTACTATATTTAAACATTTCCCTTGACCCTCGTATATTAATATGCTATGATTTATTTCATATCGTACCCGTGTCACATGCTAATTTAAACATTTCCCATGACCCTAATTGTTAATTATGCTATGATTTAATTAAATTCATACTCGTGTCACAATGTGTCACATGCAGATTAACAGATTCTCTTTTTTAAAATTTTTTATGAATATCACATGTTAATAACTGATTTTACACACAACTTTAAAAGAAATCTAAAAAAACTTGCAATAATTTTCTTTTATAACATTTTTAATTTGGATTTGATTTACATATCATGCAATATTTGTATTTTTACGAAAAAAGTTAATCACTATATCAGAAATGAGAGAGAGAGAGAGAGAGAGAGAGAGAGAGATGGGGTTTAACCTCCACTTGACACAAATTAGGTCATTTTGGGACTAACATATGGTTTAACAGGGGTCTGTAGCCGTGGGAGGAAACCGGAGGACCCGAAGAAAACCCACGCGGTTGGACACGCGACCCTACTCCTTGTCACGTACAACCGGGGATTCGAAACCACACTAGTTGACTCAATGACAGACTTTATGATACAGCACGCACATGCTAATCATTCAGCCGTCCCCCACCCCTTTTATGAAAAAAGTTTATCACTAAATAAGAAGTGATATCAGGTACTCTTGTTAAAAAGAGTAAAAATATGTTCCACCTTATGCATAACATCCTTTAACGATAAGAGAGGTTTTGGGGAAAGAGGGGGTCAAGGTGGCTAAGTGGGTAAGACACTGACTGGCTAGCCTGGAGGTCGGGTGTTTGATCCCTGCATTGGCCGAGAAAGTTCACCCAGATTTTTCGCCGCGGTTCCCCTGTGTCAGTAATACAGGACAGCTGTCTAGTCATTTGGATGAGACGAAAAACCGAGGTCATGTGTACACATTGGCGTGCACGTAAAAGATCCCTTGACAGTTGGAATTTGATATAAGAGTAAGCCGTAGTGCCGCTGTCCGGACAAAATTTCCCTCATAGAACACTGTATGGCGTAGGCCCATCTTTTCATTAGCCCAGTTTGGAGCAAAACAATAGGACGCTAAACCCCATTTCATTTTATTTCATTTTGGGGAAAGTGTAAAAACTTTAGATCATAAGGTCTGTTAAGGTATGATTTCAATCCCAGCCTTGTACATAACAAGAGTCGCTTGTCTAAACTCATTGATTTTCTCCGGGTCCCGCGGTCCACCCCACTATCAATGCTAATGACGTCTACACAAAAGCAAGTTTTCGAATGAAAATTTTCCACTTTACTTTGTATGAGGAAGAGAGGTATGGGGTTTAACGTCAACTTGACACAAACTAGGTCATTTCGGGACTAATCATTTTATACCACTTGACTCATTCCCACTAAAGAGAGAGAGATGGGGTTTAACATCCACTTGACACAAACTAGACTGACTCATCCCCACTAGAGAGAGAGAGGGGGGGGGGAGAGAGAAATAGATGGGGTTTAACATCCACTTGACACAAACCAGATCATTTCAGGACTACACATGTTACCACCAAAGTGAGCGAAATGGGGTTTAACTAAGGTAAGCTATAAGGAATAAGCTCCATCAGTAACCTATTCACTAGGTTTCAAGTCTGTTGAGTCAATGCTTGTAGTAGAAAATGGTCAAGTGTGTATAATTGATTGTCTTTTAATACAGTAGAAAATTGTTCAATGTCCAGTTGGCTGGAGCTGTCGGTCAATATATGTCCAGTTATGACTTGCCGGGGATCAATATTTACTCTCTCAACTCTGGGTCAGGCCAAAACATATCACATTCCTACTTCAGTCATATCTCCGCTTACTATTATAGGAAGTGATAGAGGGGTGGAAGGAGTGGAGGGGGTGGAGGGGCACCATAACTACACTGGAGTAGAGATCTTTAGAAGTGGAAGGAAGCCAGAGAAATAAAATGAGGTTTAACATCCTACTTTTCTGCTAGTGTTACTCCACTATCCTCCCTCCCTCCCTCTTAAGCTGAACGAGAAGAGTCCTATTGAGGGGGTGGATGGCCGAATGGTTAGCGCATGCACAGCAGTTGCACTATAAGTTATAGGTGTGTGTGTGCTGTATCATAAGGTCTGTCATTGAGTCAACTGGTGTGGTTTCGATTCCCTGGTTGTACGTCACAAGCAGTACAGTAGCCTGTTCAACCTCATGGGTTTCTTTTCTCGGTTTCTTTTCCCCCCCCCTCTCCCTCTCTGACATGAAGTGCATATAGTACACTGCATAGGGAATATTCCTGCCTTTACTAGCCAGGTTGGTGAAGACAAGTAGGACATTAAACCCCATTTTATTTCATTTAAGATCTTAACCCCCTTGTCACTCTTTGTGATAAGCAAGGGTAAAAAGGTCCTGACAAATGACCTCACTAACAATGCTTACTCAAGCACCACTCTCCAATAGGGGAGAGGTGAAATCTCAAAATGACCTTATCTAGACCTCTTTTTGACTTTCGCCTTTCTATTACACATTGTCTTTTATATGACTGACTGACCATGCATGCTAATAACATTAAACGATACCTTAACATGACACACAATCTATCATCAATCGGCCAGTCCGAGCAGAACAGTAGGACATTAAACCCAATTTCATTTCATTTCCATCATCAACCAAATAAATTTACATTGGCCTCAACATTCATTGACTAATTATGGTTTAATGCATGCTGAGTAATAACGGTTAACAATACCCTAATTTGACACTCAATCCATCATCAACTGAATAAATTTACACTGGCCTTAACATTTATTGACTAATGGCCTAGTGCCCATTACATGTATATATAATAGTAGATGCTTGAGGCAGTGTTTGTTTAAATAATTGATTCATCAAAAGGGCGTATAAGAGACAGATGGGATGCTGGAGAACTGCCTCCTTGATGTTCCCACCCATCTCAGTTTACTAGTCCTATCACAAAACATTTCAACTGGTGATATCATGTTTAATTAATTATCCAACATCGTTAACGAGATTCGTCTTAATTAACAGATTAGAACCTAAACTCTGAGTCGTCTTCAATGACATCATCTCTTCCTCGACATCTGTTTATAGCGCATCAACAAGTTGAGTCATGCGTATATGACAAACAGGAGAGTATTTATAGTGCTGCCTTGGCTAAAATGTGGAATTTTGGGTCGTTTCTGTTTAGTCACAATGAACCGTTGTTGCCAGAAGTGTTTAACATCCACTACCAGAAAGAGAGAGAGAGAGAGAGAGAGAGAGAGAGGGTTTAACATCCACTAGACACAAACTAGGTCATTTCGGGACTAACACATGGTTCAATTTTATTTCAATAATTCACTTGCACGTAGGGGTCTTTAACAGTGGGAGGAAACCAGAGGACCCGGAGCAAACCCATGAGATTGGACAGACCTTATGATACAGCACGCACGTGCTAACCATTCGGCCATCTAACTTACCATCTAAAACAGAGGGTGATATTGCAGACAAGTTTATCGCAATCTTATTTCAGTGTATCCAGTGTATGCACAAGGGATTATTCTTGTGGCAGAAAACCCCTTTCAAATCTATTTTTTTTGTAAACAATATTTTATTTCATTTGAAAATGGATTGGAGAACAGGCGGGGCCTATGTTGACTCCTCTCCAGTTTTTGTATTTGATTTGATATAAATGTTTCGAAAAGTTACACATTTTTGTGTAGGTCTACTTTCCATTTCCCCAGTGACTCAGCAACATGTCAGCATTAATCTAAAATTCACAATAGGTGACTAATTATCTGCTGATCTATGTTTCAAATCATCTGTTTCAGACCACATCATTGAGAAAACAAATACTTTACACCCTATAATCAAATCCATTCTCTATTATTAGACCAATGAAATCACATCTGTCAGTACTCAGCAGTAAATGATAATAATACTCTCTAATTGGTGCAAATTACACATCTTGATTAAGGCTGTCTTGCCTCGCCCCCAAGGATGTTGCTTTTGTCTCCCCTGTGTGAAAGATTTTGTTCATTTCTATGTCTGTACATCTGGCTAATCTGTTGCATATCAAAACATGTCTGCATCATTTCACTTAGAGCATCCGTGTACCCAATGGCCATTTACAATTTTCTTTTTACATTTAATAAAAATAAGGATTAGAAAACTATTCATGAGCGAAAGAGAGAGAGGAATGGGGTTTAACGTTCACTCAACCAGTTCATTTCGGGACTAACATATGGTTCAATTGTGTTTCAATAATTGGGTAATGTTGCCACAGACTCTTTTCCCACACCCTCCATCCTGACAAGCTGAAACCAAATAGGATGAGGAGCCACGGTGGCTCAGTAAGATGTTGGCTCGCTATCCTAGAGGTCCTGGTATATAGTATGTATGGAATGAATATTATCAATCTGAATAAAACACAGCTCCTATTTCGTTTTGTTTTTATTGTTCAAAATTTCGTTTTACTTGTCTTTACTACACTAGGATCTGGAAAAGTTGTTATCATTGACGTGTTCTGATTAGTGTGAGGTATTAGCCATTGAAACGGTCTGTTACGGCGAGCTTTAGGCATGTTTTGCACGGAACTTCTAGGTAATCCACTAGTAACATCAATGCTGATTGATTAATCAAATGTCTGATGTCATAAGGTCAAAAGCTGTTCGTATGACCTCTGACGTGACCTATCGCAACAACCAGTCAGATCTTCATGTAGTGTAGGCCATCGAAAGTTTAAAAAAACGCAACGAAATATAGATCTGTATGACAATCAGATTGGAATATTATCTTTGGCGGTAGGGCTTATCAATTATTTGATAACTGCATTATATTTTCTAAGTTTTAAATTTCAGCATGGACCACTCTACATCAATTATTTACCCTTCAGTGGATTTTTGAAAAGTAGAGATTTTACCATATCCTTGGATCTCATATCAAGTGTAGGAGCAAATAAATTATATACAGTGGTCTGATCACGTCAATCTGTCGTTATACATAACCAAACAAAATGGCATTGAATGGGCAGGTCGTTATACATAACCTAACAACATGGCAATGAATGGGCAGCTCTGTA